CATTCTATTCTCAACAAAAACGACTTCTATTCTCTACGTGCGCGCACGATACATGATAACAATACAAGGGTATGCTCATCAATTGCCTAATAGCGTTTTCGGCCCGACTGGGTTTGCACCAACCTGGGTTGGATTAATGGCGTTTTGCGCTCTCCTATTGGTAGAGCGTGTGACATCAACCAATAGGAAAGATTAATCCAACCCAGGTTAGTGCAAACCCGATCGGGCCGAAAACGCTATAAAACTCGTTCAGCTTGCGCATGTCCTTGCTTACGTCATATTTGGGTACGCGTTGATTGGTCGGTTCTGATTCGGGTGCAATCGGTGGTTATCGGTCGTAATTTATCATGGCGTCCATGGCGTAGTGCACGTTGTCATCGGTAGAAGTTAATGTTAAAAATATTTTCACGATGACCTGCATAGTGAAAGGATGCGGCAATTATATGAAAAAAACAAAAAAATCTGAGGGAAATAAAATTAAATATTTTACCTTTCCAAAACAATCTGAAATTGCTGAACAGTGGCGTAAGCCACTCGTTGTGACGTAAGTAAGGACAAAAATCTGATTGGTCATGCGCATGAGCATACCCTTGTCTTTTTATCATGGCACGATACAGTACACAATGGAATACACACGAACACACGGTTCTATCCGTGTTTACCCGACAAACTTTTTATTACCGAATTTTCCTAAATGTGTTGATTCCGCCAAAAAACGGACGGAATCCGCCAAAAAAGTAATTTTGCGGAAAGAAAGCGGCGGATTCGGCGGAACGAAGCCACTAACCAATCACGAACATTCCGCAGATCCGCATTTCCGTAGTTCCGCATTTCATGGGACCGCACCCTAACGGTAGTGCAATATGGCAGCCCGCAAGTGAGGATTTTTAACCTTTTTCTTTGTTTTCAATTTTGTATGTAAGTGCCAAGCTAAGAGAAATCATCGGAAGCAATGATGATTTTTAATTAAATTAATGGCGTCGTGTTAAATCTTAACAGAGACTACAATAAAGATGGAACAAGAAAATGGCTAAGTACATAAACAAAATAATTATATTAATAAATCATTCGTAAATCTCGGTTACCTGGATTATGCTCCAAAATGTTGCTTTCGAAGAAAATTTTATTAAAAAGTTACACTCAGCGAGAAATGATAATGGAATCGAATTGACGCCATAATCATCAATTCAATGTCGATTCGAAGGGTTCAGGGGCTCTATTCTTGAAAAGAAATGTATACGAAAGTCTAGGGAAATACTATAGTATACGTTACGTATACTGTAGCATTTCACTAGACTTTCGTATACGGTTCTTTTTAAGAATAGAGCACCTATTATCATTTTTCACGGGTGACACCCAGTAGGACACGGCTCAATTGGACACGAGCCACTCACAGCGCTTGAGACTACAAAGCTCCTAAGCACCGGTCGCTGTGATTGGTGGTGTCCAATCGAGCCGTGATCAGTCGGGATCACCCCATTTTCACTAAGTACAGTTAGAGTCCTAAATTTATCGGAGCAGAGCGACACTTTTCTGCCAGATTGTTATGAAAAAACGCGTCTAATGAATATAATTTCATCGATTTTTGAGAGGATTACCCTCCATTTGACCTTTACCAAACCTCAAACTGTGCAGAGAACTGATTTATAAAACATAAAAATCGAAAAAAAAAACGTTACCACTTGCTATCCACCTTGCATCTTCAGGTGATAGAAATGTCGAATACAATATATTAGTTTCTGCATTTAAGAATTTTACCAATACTTTCTTTTTTTGCACAGAAGTTGTATTTTTCGGCCGACGACATTCTGATAACGAGGTATGACGTCACTAGCGAATATCCAGTGGGTGGCACCCAGTTGGACACGGCTTAATTGGAGACGAGCCACTCACAGCGCTTGAGACTACAAAGCTCCTAAGCATCGGTCGCTGAGATTGGTGGTGTCCAAACGAGCCGTAGTCAATCGGGATCACCCCGTAGTCATTTGGGAACGCTTGTCCAGTGCAGTATCCAGTATAAAGCGGGAGCACAGACTCTTGCATAACGTATAACACGTAATGCATAAGAATATGTACCAATCGAAGTTCTCCGTTTCTTTCCCTTCTATGTAATAGAGAACTCTGGTTAGTTCAATTTCTTATGCCTCATGTGTTATGCGTTATGCAAGAGTCTGTGCTCCCCGCTTAATGGTGGCCATTGGATACTGCACTGAAAAGAAATGGGAACGCACCCAGTATATCAAATGTGGTCGACAATAATGAGAGAGAGGGACCGTGGGTGACGGCCAATCTCCCTCTCATTCTCTCTTCAATTACACCATTGAATGGAAAGAGATAGAAATGGCCGTCTGCCACGGTCCCTCTCTCTTATCCCTATCGACCATTTTGACACACGGATCGCGCAGTCCATTCTCTATGGCTCGTATTCAGAACGCGCTTACAACGATGTTAGCACGCTAACATACTATATTTTACGTCATGTATATTATAGAATTTCAGAGATAAAAGTGCGCTTTTATCGATAAAAGCGCGTTCTGAATACGGGCCTATGTCTTTGGTCGATACGTACTAGTAGGAAAACACATTTTAGCGGAACGGATTCGGCGGAATGAAGCCACGACCTATCACGAACGTTCCGCCAATTCCGCATTATGCCAATTTAGCACCATGGGGCCGCACCATAATGCTGGATTCACACTGCATCCGATTTGTGTCGTACGACGCTCTGCAACCAATCAGAAAACAGGATTCCGATAGATTTTGCTTCGCATCATCGGAATCCTGTTTTC